AACAAAGCACAGGGACGCGGTTCAATCCCCCAGCACCACATGCCAGCCAGCCCCGCCCCCGGTGAGCTGAGCTGGCCACACACACACATACACACACACACACAAATAAAATAAATTTAAAAGATGGTCTCAGCCGGCCAAATAGCTCAGCGGATTAAAGTGCCTGCAAGCAGGAGCTCGGGGTTCGATTCCTGCGCCTGCCGTGCAGGCCCTGCCCCTGGTCTGAGATGGCACTTGAGATTGGGCGTGGTGGTGACGTGCACCTGCAGTCCCAGCTCTTGGGAGGCTGTAAACAGGCAGATCACTACAAGTCCGATCTAGTAGTGAGACCCTGGGGCTGGGGAGATGGCGCAGCAGAATAAGTGCTTCCTTGAGAAGCGCAAGAGCCTGAATTCAATCCCTGGTTCTGCCAAAAAAAAGAAAGATAGTAGTGAGACCCTGAACACCCTGTCTTCCCTAAAAAAATTAAGAAAATAAAGAAGATGGTCTCTTACAGGGGCTGGGGGAGCATGCCTATAGTCCCAGCACTCCGGAGGCTGAGGGAGGAGGACTGCCATGAGTTGGAGGCCATCCAATGGATGCCCGGGACTTCCAGTGTCCCCGTTCCCCTCCTTCCTTCTGCTTCCTTTCCACCTTGGCCGGCCTTCCTCCAGCCAAAGCCCGGTTGAGGCAGGGTCCCCGAAAAGCTTTGCTCTTTGGCAGTCAGTGCTGGGGCCTTGCACTTGCTCCAAGCAGCTTCAGAATCAGTCAATTGCCCAGCCGCCTCCCGGGCTGCCCTTTTCCACACACTGAATAGTGGGGTTTGTTGTTTTGTTCCGCAGTCAAGATCGTCTACGCAGGCTGGGCCGGGCTGGGGCTTCCGGCAGAGCACCAAGCCCAGCTCAAGGGCACCAATCTGAAGGCTAGAACTAGGTCGTGCCACCTGCCTGTCCACCGGCGCATGCGCACACTCGCAGGTCACCCACGCGGAGCCCCCTTCATCGTTGACCACGACCTGTGCTTCTCCGCCGCGCCTCGGTTCCCAGCGCGCTGCCCCAGGACCCCGGCTGCACCTCCCGTAGCCTTGGGTCTGGCTCTGCAGCTTCCTCTTGTGTGACCCTGGAGGCCACGATTCTCACTGCTTGAGGCAGGAGGATCTCAGGTTTGAGCCCGGCCTGGGCAGCTCTGTCTCAAAAAGAGGTTTGTTTTTATTTTTGCTCCCCCTCCCCCTTCCTCATGTAGCTCATTGGTGGTCTGACATGCCAGCAATAAATGTGAGTTGGAGATACACAGTGAGCTCAAGGTCAGCCTGAACTACACAGTGAGTCCCTATCTAAAAACAAAACTAGGGCCAGGGAAATAGCTCAGCAGCAGAAGCATGTGCCTGGCAAGCATAAGGTCCTGAGTTTGATGCCTGGTACCGCAAAAATAAATAAAAACAAAATTAAAAGGCAGGGAAGTAGCTCAGTGCAGGGTGCTGGGTTCAAGCCGCAGTCCTGCAAAACAAATGACTGTCGTGTTCCTGGGAGCTGTCCTCCTCAGAGGGGTCCCAGAGCCCTCACTTCTTCCCACAGCCTCCGGGGTGTGGCGGGCCTTGTCCCATCGCCATCTCCTGGACCCAGCTGTGCCCAACTCTCGGCCTGGGGCATCTGCATCATCAGTCAATAAAGATAAATTATGAAATCGTTTGTTGTTACCTTGAGGGCTGACTGAAATTGCCTTGCTTCTGCCAGCCACATCTGCCTATGGCGATGCTGGAGTCAAAGGCTGGGGCTTCGCTGCAATTTAAGTATTAATAAACCTCCTAGACCGCTAGTTGGGTTTTCCTTAAGCAGCCCAGCCCTCCTGCTCCTAGGTTGCTAGTATAATTTAATCTCTGTCCTTTGCTTTGTGTTCACTTAAAGGGCTATTGGAGGGAACTAAAGCAGCCGCTGCAAGCCCGGAGATAAGATCCGGGAGAGTCACCTTCCAGCTACTGCTTGCTGCGAGTTCCCTCCGTGACATTTTACTGCCTGCAGCAGCCCCTCGCACTCCACTGGGTCCCTGGATTCGAGCCTGCAGCAGCAAGAACTTCACACCTGCTCTGGATGCAGCCCTGGACTGTGATCCACCTGAAGGCCTCCATCCGGGCTGTTTTGAGAAGCACGGCACTCGACTGGCAATGAGGTCCTCACAAATGCCACTGTAAAGCTGGATGTGGCAGTGCACACTTGTAACCCAGCCCGGGGGAGGCTGCAGCGGAAGGATCTCACTGTGGCCAGCCTGAGCTGCAAAGCAAGCCCCTCTCACACACAAGAACAGAAACACCCCAAACCTCAAGTTTGTACTCCCCCACTGCCACGCCAGCCTCTCCAACTCCAGTTGCTTCTGGGCCCTCCAACTAGGGCTCTGGATGTCCTCAGTGTCGGACTCGGTCCCGCCTGCTGCACCTCTGCAGTGCCCGCAGGAGACCATGTTTTCAGCTCTTCCCCATTTCCTGCTTGCACAGCAATGATGCATTTCTTTACTTTCTTCCATGCTCTGGGCAGATGTAGACTGCTTGTGGGAGCTGAGCATCCCAAGTACAGCCGAAGCCTGGGGCTCCGGGTCAGGGCCGCGGGCCTGGGTGGCAGGCCTGCGTGGCCCTCCCCGCTGCTCCCACCTCCGTCCTTCTTGGCTCCGCAGCCTTCCAGGGGCAGGCCAGGTTCCTCCAAGGCAGCCTTCCCCCCCTCCCCCCAGGTCTCCCAGCCCCTCCTCTGGCTCTGTTCAAGGTGTCAGGAGATAATCCGAAGCTCTTACCTGCCCCCTCCCCCTTCCTCCTGTAGCTCACAGGGAAACAAGATAAAATCCCCAGCAGGCCCTGGAGACAGGTGTGAAGGTGCAGTGGCATCCCCAAGCAGGGCGGGTCAGGGGAGCAGCTCAGCAGAGGGGACCCAAGCACAGGGGCCTCCTGGAAACAGGTCAGAAGGCGTCTGTGGCTGAAGACAGTCCCAGGTCTTCCTGTCTTCCTGCAGCGCTGGGGATGGCAGCCAGGGCCTGACACAACCCCACAGCAGTTTCCTGCCTTTTCACTTTCCATCTAGAGACAAGGCTCCCGAAATTGCCCGGGCTTCAGCCTCCTGAGAACCTGTGATTATAGGAACACCCCTCCATGCCCACCTACAGAAAACATTATTTTTAAAAAATCCTTGTTTTGGTGGTACTGGGACACTGAACAATACCTGCAGCCCTTTCAGAGAGCCTTGCTACATCACCCAGGCTGGGCTCAAACCTGCAGTCCTCCTGCTTCGGGCTCCCTAGTGCTGGGATCCCAGGCTCGGGCCATCACGCCCGATTTAGCTGTGGAAACTCGGGCAAAATCTTTACCTACGAGGGGCTGGGGAGATGGCTCAGCAGGATAAACACTTGACTGGCAAACGCAAGGATCTGAGTTCAACCACTGGTTCCGCCAAAAATCTTTACCTATGAAGCACTTGAAGGTCAGGAGAGATTTTTTTCCCGAGGTAATAAGAGCTCGCTTCCAAGGGGCGATGAGTACAGTGGAAGCCCAGCAGCAGCTCCATTCCTCCTGCTAGGGGCGGTGCGGAGGGCTCTGCTTGGGGCAGGGCTGGCCCAGGAGGGCGTGCAGGTACTGCCCAGTGACAAGTGGGCACTTCAGGCAGGCAGGGTCCTGATATTCTTGCTCACTTGCAGCCTCCTGAACCCAACAGAATCAAGATGTACCTGCAGCCATAACCAAGGTGACAAACCCCGAGTCCTCAGCCATGGGCTGTATGAGGTCAGCGGCTGTTGGCAGCTATATAAAAGGAGGTTGGTGGACCGCCTGCCCTGGACAGGGCCCAGCCCAAGTGCAGCAGCAGCAGCAGCTGGCAGCCTGCCCCACGCGTGCTGACCCTGCGGCCACTGAGCCCCGGTGCCAGCTGGGACCTCTGCACCCAGAAGGTGGCCACAAACAAGTTGCCGTAAGCCACGTCTGTGACAGTGTCACAAAGAAGTAGAAAATGTAACAGGTGTTTAAATTGCCTCTATGACCTAAAGAGGCAGATGGGATCTGTACTCCCCCATCTTATGGAGGGAGAAAAATGTTTTAAAAAGAGGTTATGGTGTAAAAATAAGACGACAAAGCCTGCAGGTCCAAGTCTCAGAACAGTCACTGCTGGCGAGGCAGCGTGGCACACCTCCGCGCCCAGTGCTTGGGAGGCCGAGGCAGGAGCACCACTTGGAAGATGAAGAATAAGCTACACACAAGGCCTGTCTCAAGAACCAAGAACACAGTAGTTCTCATTGGAAGTGTCAGCTACCAGCTTTATTTGCCACGTCATCGGCGCAACACACACGTTTGCACAGTCAGGTCTGGCTGCACACCAGGACAAGACCCCATTCTTCCCAGAGCCTGGAACAGCTCGAGGTAGGGAGTTTATGAAAACCTCTTTGTGTTCCTTCAGCAAAATCATTTTCTTTTGTTGTATTTTTTTAGGGCAGGGTCTCCAGGGTCTCACTACTAGACTGGACTCGTAGCAAAACCACTTATGAAGCTGTGATGTTCAGCGACATGGAGCAAGGGGGAGGGAAGCACCTCCAAGCGCCAGCTCCGTCCTGGTGGCACCCGGTAGCCATGAGCTGACGCATTAGGAGGGCTGGGTTACACACTCGCGTTTGTTTCTAATGGGAATCAGAGCGCTCTCTGGACACAGGTGCCGGGAAAGTGCTGGCGAGCTCCGCCTTCCCTGAGCCCCACGCCTGCTGCCCCCACGCGGCACTCTACCTCTGGGACCTGCCCTGGGACTGCCCAGACAGTCCCAGCTCCTCCCACAGGCCCACCTGGGCCAGGACAATCTCAGGTCCTTGCTGCTCCACCTCTGGGAACAAGTCACAAACCAGCCTCTCGCTCACTTGCGGGGCAAAGTGGTTCTGAATGAATGCAACCGCGTTCCACAGCTCTTCGTGGGCCACTGCGCAGGAGACACATGAACCAGGCTACGGGAGGGAGGGCGGGCAGGCGGGCGGGCGGGCGGGCGGGCTCTGGGCCCACAGAACCTGCTCTTTCTTTTTCCCTCAGTCTGGGACTGAACCCAGCCCCTCTCCCCTTTGGGTGACGGTGACTAAGCTGCCCACTGGACTGAGGCTTGCAATCCTGCCTCAGCGTCCCCGAGGTCTGGGATGAAAGGTCTGTCACACAGTGCTGCACCTGGATACGACCTCCTGTGGAGCGCATTCTTCGGGTCCTGTGGCCCCAGACCTGAGGGCGGCCGGAGTCAGCGTCAGCGGGGCCCGCGGGTGTCCTGCAGCACGAGGTAGGGATCCAGCTCCTGGCGCTGGTAGAGAGCCACACTATCCAGCACCCACTCTCTGGTCACCACAGGCACCTGGCACAGCTGTCCTAGGTCTGGCACAGACACAGGCATTTCAGTGCCTACATGACCCCTCGGGGGACCTGGCTGAGTCCTGTGGGTAAATCTGGGGGAGCCCCAGTGTTACTCCAGGAAGCTGAGGCAACACCTGGCTTGAGACGCAAGCTGTGGGCAGCATGGCTTCACCATGGGCGACAGAGAAGCCACCACCAAGAGCTACACAGCACTGAAGTGGAGGGACGGGAAAACCTTCTCAGGAAAACAAACGGCATCTGAACACCAGGGCACACCCACGGGAGGCGCTGTCGGAGGTCAGCTGCACAGCAGCAGGGTAACAGCGGTAGTTACAGCTACTACTCTTTGCGTTTCTGGGGTCTCCTCCTTTGCCCAGGTCAGCCTCCCAATCTCCCTGCCTCAGCCCCATACAGATTACAAGGACAAGTCACTATGCTACCGCGGCCTGTTGTATTGCGGTGGGCTAGATTATATTTTCTGTGATGAACATTTATATTTAGCCGCTCACACAGCAGCTATAGCCTCCTTTTCAGAAGGCTGAGGCAGGCGGCTCTCCGGTACTCAGGAGTTTGATGACAGCTTAGGTAATTTTTTTTTTTGTATTTTAGGGAAGGGTCTACAAGGTGTTCAGGGTCTCACTACTAGATCAGATTAGTAGTGATTCTACTGTTTACAGTCTCCCAAGAGCTGGGATTACGGGTGCACGCCACCACGCCCAGTCTCAAGTCTCAGTGCACCCTGGGGGCGGGGCCGGCATGGCAGGCCCAGGGATTGAACCCCTAGCCCCTGCTTGCAGGCGCTTTAATCTGTTGAGGTTTTTTTTTTTTTTTTTTTGCACAACTGGGGGTTGAACTCAGCCCCCCCCCCCACCTTTTTTCAGCTTAGGCAATCTGATGAGCCACCAAAACCCAATCTGATGAGCCACCAAAACCCAAAACTAGCTGGGCATGGTAGCACACAGCATGTGGGAGGTTGGGGTAGGTTTAGAGACCAGTCTAGGATACAATAGTGAGCTCAAGGCCAGCTTCATAGTGGCACCCTGTCTCAAAAAAAAAAAGGGCCGGATAGATAGCTCAGTGGACTAACCACCTGCTTAGCCAAGTGCAGGGACCGGGGTTTGATCCCTGGTACCACATGCCACACTGGCCCTGCCCCCGACACACTGAGCCAGCCACTGAGACTGGATGTGGTGGCGCTTGCCTGTAGTCTTAGCACTGGCAAGGCTGAAAACAGGAGGATCACTACAAGTCCAAGCTGCACAGTGAGACCCTGTACCAGATAAACAAACACACAAAAAAGAAAAAACAACAAGGAATGGGGAAAAAGGGGGCCAAAATCAAACCGGAAGCTACCCCGCCATACAAAAAGGCCATGTACAGAACAAGTTCCATCCCAGGAGAACTGCCCGAGTCTTATACACCCCTGGAATCTACAACTCGAATTCTGTAAGTCTGCCACTTACTGTATTCCTTTTACAATGTGAAATAACAAAATATGCTGAAAAGATGCCCAGCCATTCACTTAGGCAACAAAGCCTTGGAGGGCGCGGCTGCTGCTGCTACCCAGCTCTCCAGGGCGCTTACCTGGGAAGCCACCGTTCTCTGTCCATGAGTCGGGTTCCAAGACCACGATGGGGCGAGCTCCCTGCAGCCCGCAAAGGAAAGGGCATCGCAGCGTCAGGGCGGGACTCTGGCAGTGGCCATGGTGCCACATGGAGTCACCTCAGAGGAGGGCCCGGGGACAAAGGCCCTGCATGGAGCACTCACACAAGGGCTCCCCACCACGGTCCCAGCACTTACAGTGACGAGGGGCAGCGACGAGAGCTCCCTGACCACAGTTGCGCCGCACAGCTGCAGCATGCACTCCAGCTGATCTGTAGGGGACAGCAGGGCTGGGCGCATACTCTGGGGCCATTCCTGCCCCAGGCTTGGGGCAGGCCCCCTGGTGAGAGGCAGCTCAGCCTTTGGCCACTGAGGTGCTGCTCAGGGCTGTCAGCCGCTACAGGGCCAGTGGGGAAACAAGGTCTCAGGCTTTTTTTTTTTTGTGGTACTGGGGATTGAACTCAGACCCTTGCGCTTGCCAGGGAAGCGCTTATTCTACTGAGCCATCTCCCTGGCACCCCTTCATAGTCTTTTTTAAAAATTTTATGTGTGTGTGTGTGTGTGTGTGTGTGGCCAGCTCAGCCCACCAGGGGGCGGGGCTGGCATGTGGTGCTGGGGGATTGAACCTCAGTCCCTGTACTTGGCTGAGCTTGTTCTAAGTAGGTGCTTTAGACCACTGAGCCATCTCTCCAGCCCACTTCATAGTCTTTTAAATAAAACATTTCCAAAGGAAAAAAACTGCAAGATCCAATTTCTGTTAATTTGCTAAATTGCTAGATAAAATATACCCTCCTTGCCTGCTAACCCTATACTGGCAACGGATAAGGATGCCCTAAGGACACTGTACAGGGGCAGTACTACAAATGCCACCAGACAAGGGTTATTCACCCAGCACCCAATGGAGAAAACCAGAGTAGCCTGCCACGGTGTCAGCATGGAAGTGGGCAAAGGACACAGGCTGAGCTGGCTCTGTGCCCACAGAAGAAAGCCAGGTCTGCATGTCTGGCACAGAGTGCCCACCCTGAATCCTTGCTGGTGAGGCTGAGGCAGGAAGACTGCAAGTTTGAGCCCCGTAAATTAGCAATACCCTGTCTCAAAGACTGGGGGATATGGCGCAGTGTGAAAGCCCAGGTGCAGTTCCCAAGAAAGAAAAAAGGGAAGGCCTTGCACAGCCAGCCCCTCCGCACTGGAGCACCTGCCCCACCAGCGTGTGCCTGGAAACTGCTGAGCTGCTCACAGCTCTTGTTTTGTGTGATTTTTGAGTCAGGGTCTCGCTTCAGAGTTCAGGGTGGTGTTGAACTCACAGCGATCCTCCTGTCTCAGCCTCTTGAAGGCTGGGATTACAGGCATGCGCCACTGTGCCAAGCTCCCAGCTGACCAAACTAAGGTTCACAAATACCTCCAATAGGATGTCTTCGAGAGACCCAGTTTTTCCCCACACCAAAACATAAAAAACAGCGGTCCGGGGAGATGCTCAGTGGAATAAGCACTTCCCTGGCAGGGCAAGGGCCTGAGTTCAATCCCCGGTTCCACCAAAAACAAAAAACAAAAAACACAGAGAAACCTTGAGTAGCACTTGAAAATTTCTTAAAATCCCAACCAGAAACCAGTGAAGGAGGTGGTGCGGTCCCGCTGGCAGGCCCCACTTGCCGGGTGTCTTCAGCCGCCCAGCCTAGGCAAGGCCCAAGGCCTAGGGCGGAACAGGGCACAGGAGGGGCCACATTTATACACACACAGGCTCTCAGGGCGCCGGGGGGGCAGGACTGGGCTCCCCGCCGGCTGCTCTCAGGAAGGGCTATAGGCCTGGAGGACGACACCTAGGTGCCACCTTGGTTGGAGAAACGGAAAAGCCAGGAAAAGCACCTGATCCTGGGCCCATACCTGTGGTCATGTTGGTAAAGGGCCCGCAGCAGCAGACGGCCAGGCCTGCGAAGATCTGGTGAGGAGAGAGACGGGGCAGTTACATAGAAGACTCAGAGAAAACTGTTTCCTCCCCCACCCCTGTGGCTCCGTGACAGCCAGCCCACACGCACCAACGCCTAAGGGTCTTCCTATGAGCACATATTTGACTGATGTGCACAGCAGCTCTTTTAGCATCTGAGGGCCGAGCGTCCCATCTCGTCGTGGGCCCAGGACCCCTTGATGACCTTTACAGGTTATTCTGTCTATTTATTAGATACAGCATGCCTGGGGTCCTAGGGCCAGCATAGCATGTGGTACTGCGGATCGAACTTGCATCTTTGCGTTTGCCAGGCAGGCACTTAGACCGTTGTGCTACCTCCCCAGCCCTACAGGTTATTCTGTCTTTTTTTTTTTTTTTTAAATTTTTTTTTATTTGTGTGTGTGTGTGTGTGTGTGTGTGTGTGTGTGTGGCCAGCTCAGCCCACCAGGGGGCGTGGTTGGCTGGCATGTGGGGCCGGGGGATTGAACCGTGGTCTCTGTGCTTTGTTAAGCTTGCTTTAAGTAGGCGCTTTAGACCACTGAGCCATCTCACCAGCCCCCCCCCCCCTTTTTTTTTTTTTTTTGGTTATTCTGTCTTATGAGAAATGAGAGGAAGTCGTGGTCCTTCTTTGTTTCCTAAAAGGTCAAGATGGCAGGGCTGAAGCCTCACTCGTCCATGGCGAGTACCCAGACTTCTGTCCCTGCCCCCTCACTGCTGTGGAGACGGCTCACTCAGGACAGCTTTGCAGTTCCGAGTCTGGAACTGCAGCCAGTTCCTGAGGACACAGGCCCTGGGCCCCTTCTCTCCCCAGGTGACTTCTGCCTCCAGGGCTGGCAGCACTGTCCTGGGGTCTGACATTGGAGGGCGTCCTGATCTGCCAGGCAAGGAGCTGTGACTGTGGGCACCGCAAATGCGGGGACAGGGAGTCCACCTTCCTGCCTGGCTCTGAGTACACTGTGCAACTGGTGGCCAGTGGCCAGATGGCCCGGAGGCTTAGCTCGTGGGATGGCCAGAGAGGAGCCAGGCTGAGGCACGGTGAGCGCCCAGTGGGTGCCATTACAATTATTATTTTTTATGCCATAGTTAAAAAAAAACAGCCTGGGGCCAGGGAGATAGCCCAGTGGAGAAAGTGCTTGTGTGGCCAGCGCAAAGGCCTGAGCTCAAGCCCAATTCCGCAAAGCAAAAAACAAAAAAACATGTTTCTAACATGAAAACACTTGTACACTTCTAAAATATACTTTCTTTAGTATAAAATTCTCTCAATGCATTGCTGAGCTATAGTTTCTAATTATTTGAAAATGTGTAACCAATAATCAGTAATAAATTTTTCTTTGCAACTATTAAAAAAAAAACCTGAGCCAGGTGTGGTACACACCTGTAGTCCTAGCACTAGGCAGGCTGAGGCAGGAGGATCACTGCAAGTTCGAGACCAGCCTGGCCACAAAGTGAGCCTCCCAGGCCAGGCCAGATGTATCTCCCCACGGGGCCCTGGGCAGCTCATGAAGGCTGCACCCCCTTACCTTCCCACTCCACTAGAGAGAAAAGTGCCTGTGCCTGGGCTTCACCTGGCCTCCAGAAGACAGGAGAGAATGTGGGACACTTCAGCTCGCAGGGGGTCAGAGAGGAAGTGGTCCCTGACACTTGTGCGTGTGCATACACACCCTGTCCTAGCCAGGAACAAAGAAAGGCTGCAGCACATGTCTCCCTCCATCTGAATTGACGGTTTACTGTGGTGTCCCTTCTATCCCCAGCCAGCGGACAGGTCCTGATGCTCCCATGCTGGGTTCTCCCAGGCAACCTGCTGGGCTCGAGCAGGGCCATCAAAGTCCCTGGAGCGAGGAGGCATTTATGGCCTGTCCTCCACAGCCACAGGACTCATGCCTGCTGCTATGCTATGGTGACATGCCCTGTCTGCAGAAAGTCACTCTCTAGGCCTGGTCCTTTCCATCCCTGCTAACTGGAATGAAAGAGGAGGCTCAGAGCATTGGCACTGAGGTGTGGCTCTGCTTCAGCCAGCTGAGGCAGATGATCACATCCCCTGTGCCTCCAACAGGTCCTGGACAGGCTCAGAGGGAGGGCGGCTAACCCCAGGGTCAGAACTCCAGCCTTGATCTGAGACCATCTCCAAAGCGGCTTTCCTGGCCAGGCACGGTAGCGCCTGCAGCCTTCAGGAGGCCAAGGCAGGCGGACCATGAGGATCTGGGGCCAGCCCGGGCTATTACGCAATGTTAAGTGCAGTATGAACCAGGATCTGCTCATGCTACCCCTGGCTCCACTGTCTGCCCTCTGCTGTGTTCTGAGTTCTGGCCTTGTTAATTCATCCAAGGTGGCCTTGAGCTCACAAGCCTCCTGACATGGAGAAGCTGGGCATTCCGGGTGTGTGGCCATGCCTGGCATAGTGCTGTTCGCGCCACTTCCCATCCTTCGAGTCTCCTCAGCTGTGTGCACCCGACAGTACTTGTACCCATTCAAAATCCTAGCTCTGCCACTGGCAGCTGAACTACATCCCAGACTGGACCCCCAGGCCCCAGCCTTGTGACTGATGTGCATCCGCCCACCTCCCTGTCCTGGGACTCACGCTCCTGTCCTGGGACTCCCTGGCACGCCTCGGACCGTGGTGGCTTCTTCCGTTGATCACATCTCCTCTGACTTCAAAATCATGCTGGAAGAGGGGGCCAGGGGGATGGCTCAGTAAAACAAGTGCTTGCCTGGCAAGCGCAAGGGCCTGAGTTCAATCCCCGGTTCCACAAAAAAAAAAAAAAAATCATGCTGGCAGAAACCAGGCCAGACCAGAGCAGTCAGCAGAGCAGCCGCTGGCAGGGGCAGCAAGGCGGACGGGCTTCTGACGAGCGAGCTCTAAATGCAGGAGCTTTTGTCTTGTGGCAGAAGGACCAGGACCCAGCTGGTGCAGCCCTGCCTTGCAGGCCTTAACTGGCTGGACACCCTCTCGCACCAAGGCAGCTGCGTTTTCAGCATCCGTCTCCTCTGCACTCCCTCACTCCACACATGCCGTGCGGTTATGAACGGAACTGGGCCCCTCCAGCGGGGCCTTCCGAGCCGGGAGATCGAAGGGCTTTGCAGATTTCAATGAGAGTTCAGGAGTTAATGAAGCCAAAGTGAAGAGGGAACAGGACCGGGGAGTTTGGGCCTTTGGAGAAAGCTCCAAAATAGAAGTCATGGAAACTCACATAGTGCTAGTGTACTATGAAAAAAATTGTCAAGACCACACGCACTGGCTGTGACGGAGGGACAGCATGCCTTGTCTCCTGGTCACGTAGAGGGGAAGAGTCTGGTGACAGAGCTGCCACCTGCAGGACTGATGGGCTCGTGGTCCCACCGCCCTCGAGTTCCTGGCCCCGTGCCGCCCTCACTTGGGGCTCCCCCAGCCCCAATGGTTCCTGACCTCTGCCCTGTGCGGAGACGCACACCCAAGGCGACCCGGCTTCTTCCACCTGAGCTCCCCGCAGGAGGCCAGCCCCACACAGTCCTGCTAACCTTTTCCAACCTTCACAAGCTCCCCATGACCTGAGGGATAAACCCTCACCCTGGCCTCCAATAGTTCTTCCTTTATCCGTGACCTTCTACCTGGGTCTGACCTCTGTCCCTGAACACAACAGCCCAGTTCTTGCTCCTTAGTGGCACAAGGCTGATTTTCTTTTTCTTTTTTCTTTTTTTTTTTTGTATTTTAGGCAAGGGTCTAGAGGGTGTTCAGGGTCTCACTATTAGATCAGACTCATAGTGATCTGCCTGTTTACAGCCTTCCAAGAGCTGGGATTACAGGAGCGTGCCACCACGGCAGGTCTGAGGATCAAACTCCCAGCCCCTGCGCCTGCTTGCAGGTGCTTTAATCTGCTGAGCTATTTGGCTGGCCCATTTTCTTTTATTGATACTAATTTCCTTTAATAAGCCAGGTTCATACCTGGAGACTATTACTCCTCCTGTTCAACCACCTATGATCAAACTCAGGGCATTCCTATAGCTGCATCCCCCTATTTTTTAAATTTTTTTGGTGGAACCAGGGATTGAACTCAGGCCCTTGTGCTTGCCAGGGAAGCACTTATTCCACTGAGCCATCTCCCCGGCCCTCTATTTTTCTTTTTTAAGGATTTTTTTTTTTTTTCTCCCGATGCCCTCGGTTGTGGTTTGGCTGGCTGGAGTGTTGTGGGGATCGAACTACAGCAACCCGAGGCTGACAGCTTTGCGGAAGCAGCCACTTAAAGAACTGAGCTAGGGCCAGGCCCCCTATTTTTCTTTTTTAAAACTGGGCTTTGTTAAGTCACTAGGTTCCTGAAGCAGTGGTCAAACTTGTGATCCTCCTGCTTCAGCCTCCAGAGTGCCGGGATGACAGGTGTGTGCACTTTCACCATGTTCTCTACATTGTAAGGAATTCTTTTCTAGTCATTAAGGTCTCAACAGCCTTCCCTGGCCTGTCCGACTAAAGCAGCCCATTCACCGCCTGGCGCACCCTCCCCGTGCTGGGATGGAGACGCACCAGAGCCAGCACCACCAGCCTGCTTACTGCTGGGATCCTGGGGCCTGCCACACAGCATTTAGCTGACTACAAACACCCTGCCTGATAGTACCGAACAGTGTAAACCTCTTTCCCTAGCTTTACTTGACCCGATCAACTGCCACAGGCAGCTCCTGGCTGATCCAAGACTCTAGTCCGATACTACCTTATTTTCTTCTCCATGCTTAGCACCATGAAGAGCAACAGTTGAGGGAACCCGCTTTCTAAACAGATGCATCTGCACACTAAAGGGCGGTCCTTACTGTTGTGGTCACAAACAGCCTGTTTTCTACACATTTAAGGTTTGGGGGCTTGTTTGCTGTCCCTGTGAATCTTTCTTTGGTTCTTACTTCCCCCAAGGGGCAGTTTCTTGGGACACTCAGAACAAAGGGAATGGCTGACAAAGGGAATCTGTGGAAAGTGCCGCTGGCCCAGAGACCGCAGGCCCTGTGGCCTGGGGTGCAAAGCTCCTCACTCCCAGTACCCACCTCATCCAGCACTCTTCTTTCCTTCATCGACTGGGTCACCCCTAGAGAGATCACAGAACACAGTCACTGAGTGCATGGGTACGTGTGTGTGCCTGCTTGTGCGGAGGCCCTGCCCAGCCGGGAATCAGAGAGCAGGGCGGGCGCCTGCTGCCTCGGAAGCTGTAGAGCTGGGGCAGCACTACGCCACTTCCTCCCAGGGATGGAGGAGCAGCTGATGATGCTGGCGCCAGTCATGTGAGCAAACAACGCTGCCCCTGGCTCCCACCCTCAGGTAAGTAAGCCCCCATCCCCATTCCAGCATTGCAGGGTGGATTAAGTCCTGGTTTTTTTTTTTTTTTTGCAGAACCAGGGATTGAACTCAGGCCCTTGTGCTTGCCAGGGAAGCACTTATTTTACTGAGCCATCTCCCTGGCCCTGTCCTGTTAGTTTTGAAAGAACTCCATTTCCCCAACCTCGCCAGCTCATCTGAACAGTGCCATATGCATTTACAGAGAAAGCTAGCTCTGTGCCACCACTAAAGGCCTCTGGGTAACTCAGCTCAGCATCAGCAAAACGCTGAGGTGTTACAACACTAGGTGTAAGGACAATTCTGAGGTGTCAGAGGGAGGTGGGGAGGGCTCCCACTGTGTACTTACAGGAGTAGCTAACCACCCATTTTCCTCCTGCGATCCCCAGAAAGTATTTCATTGTCCGCTCACATACGAAGTCAGCATCTGTCAAGTGAAAGACAACACAGATGAGAGAAAACCAAGTCAGAAAGTGCTGCCCAGGGACCAAAGCGCCTCCTGCACTCGGCATCGATGCGGAAGACGGCTGCACAGTCCTGTGTCCAGGCCACTGATCAGAGCCAGCTCTGCAGATCTTCAGAAGACCAGAGGGGGCTGATGTCAAGGCAGGACAGTGGAAACACCCGCTTTGCCTCTGGAGCGTCTTGATTGAGGGGTCGGCCAAGCGACAGCAGGCACAGCTAAGGTTAGGGACCCTGCTCTGCTGGCCGGTAACAGGCTGAAGCCCAATCCAAGGCATCGCTGTGACCAAGCTGCCCCCACAGAATGTCCATGCTTGGCCCGGCCTGCCCCGAGACCAGTCGTCTCGGCTCCTCTCCTTCCAAGCACAGAATCACTGATACTGATCTCCTGTCTCAAAGGCCCTCTGAAGCACCAAGCACACCGAGAACAGGCTGGTCTTACAGAGGAGGAATGTATTTACCTATACTCTAAACAGCAGGCCTTCTACGAGCACACTGGTGGAGACTCTACGACAAAATCTGAACTGTGGAGTTTTCTGTGTAACTACTACAAAAGCCAATTCAATAATATGCTTTCAACTTCTACGGTGCCTGGAGCTTAAGAAGTGCGCCACTTTACATTTAATTTGCATTTTAAAGCTTCCTTTTTACCTTTCATCAGCTTTCATTCCACCCTACAGCTTAAAATATATTCAACTTCCATGACCCTTGTCTCTGTGGTAATTAGCCCGTCATGCCCACTTGCTCTGGCGTCTGTGTTCAGGAGTGTCACCTCCCAACCCCGCAGCCTGATCTTCACATGGCAGAGGCTCCGAGCTGGGGTCTTGGGCAGAGTTGAGGGCTCCAGCCCCACAGCACTGTGACCAGAAATACAGGGAAATACCTCGCGGGCAGCAGCGCGCCTAGAGAACCACCGTCAGCCGTGGCTCGGCCTGCTGGTTACCTGTCTTCATGACCACATGGGTGGTGTCCTCTGTGATCAGCCTGGCCATCTCCATGTGGTACTTTCTGGCAAACTTCTTCACCAGCATCTGAAATCAAACCCAATGTTGCATTATGATAAACAGAGCAGCAGCAGGCTCCTATGGCGCATGTGCAGGGCAGGCTCAAAAGGGCTCGCCACCACTGCCTTACGTTATCTTAACGCTGGGTCTCCATTTTTCTCAGAAAAGGCACATTTTTTCTTTCTTTCTTTCTTTCTTTCTTTCTTTCTTTTTTTTTGTTGTTTTTTAATCTTTTTTTGTTAAGACTTTCTTGACACTAGTGTGTGGTGTAGGCCTGTAACCCCAGCATTCTGGAGGCTGAAGCAGAAGGACCCCTGTAAGTTCAAGGCCAGCCTGGGAAAAAAAAGACTCGCCTGAAGTCTCAAAATGAGTAATTTAACAAAAGAGATGTATGAATCTGAGGAAGATGTTCTAATATAGTTTAATACCTAATACAGAGCTAGCAGACAAGATCACAGATTCAAAATAGTCACTTTGTCTTTTTTATTAGTTGCTTTTTTTTAAAATTATTTATTTATTTTTATTTATTACATTTATTTATTGTGTGTGTGTGGCCAGCTCAGCCCACCAGGGGGTGGGGCTGGCTGGCATGTGGTGCTGGGGGACCAACCGCGGTCCCTGTGCTTTGCCAAGCTTGTTTCAAGTAGGTGCTTTAGACCACTGAGCCATCTTTCCAGCCCCAGTCACTTTGTCTTTAATAGGAGGTATCATTTCATTCCCTAAGACAGTTTCTTTGTATAGTCATACTCTCCCATAATTTAGGCTTTTCAGCCTACATTCACAAGCTGAGAGATAACTTGTCTGTACAGAAAGTGAATGCTAAAAGGAAGAAAAAATTATGTGCCTTAACACTCAAGTGAAGATGCTTCCAAAGTCAGTGCCAAATTCTGTCTTTTTTTTTTTTTTTTTTTGGTGGACCGGGGATTGAACTCAGGCCCTTGCACTTGCCAGGGAAGCACTTACTCCACTGAGCCATCTCCCTGCCCCCCCCTTTTTTTTTCCTTCCAAATTCTGTCTTAAGGTTTCTGTCTTAAGGAGAAGTGCTGGAAGAGACGCGTGCTCCCCAGTGAAATCTAGAGGCCTCCAGCTATTCTCTATCAGCCAAACAACAGCCAACAGGTGGCAAACAAATGAGCCAGGTCCCCTACACACAGAGCTGAGGAGCTGCTAGCTCCCGGGCCCACGGTTTCTGGCCAGGCCACCCTCACCATGGCCCTGGGCAGCACCACACCCCACAGGTCAGACCGGCCGCAAGGCCCTGGAGAGAGGCAGGTGAGAGGAGCTAGCCACACGCTTCCCACGCTGCCGCCCTCTGCCGGGATCGTTAGCAGCTTTGAACTGATTAACTGCTGAAATCTCAGCCAGGAAACAGTGCAGTTAGAAGGACAAAAGCTGAAAAGATCCTTAGCATGGGCTTCAGAATTAAGCATAGTGTGTTGATTTCACTGTAAATTCACATACTTCAACCTGACTAGAGATCCAAGCTTCTTCTTCACCTACTTAAAGACCACACATAGCCACGCTGCTTCCAGTCTCATCTGTGGCTTTGAATGGCCCAAGACAGGAAGGAGGAGGCAAGGCCACTGTAGCCACCTTTGAAAAGCTCAACTCATAAAACCAAGGACTATGGAATGCTAATTTTTAACGGATTTCCAGGAACATACAGCTGTGCAGGCAGGTGGTCAAGAGTTAAACAGATTTGGTGGTGTGAGTACTAGGCCTTGTCCCTGTCTTCCCACTGTGGGAAACGGCTGGCTGCTGCAGAGAAGGCGCTGCTGACTCGCTGGCCACTGTGAGCTCAGGCCCCAGCATGGCTCACTTTCTCAGGTGAGGGAAGTGGCACCTGCTAGTGCACCCCGCTCTGGGTCGGGCATGCCACTGTTAGAGAAACATGCTCTGCTGCTTTCTTATGAGAGCTACCAGTCATTAACGACACGGCGAGGGGAACCCGAGGTGACAGTCCATAAGCAGCCTGAGGTGGCGGCTTTGGTGCTGTTAATGTGGGTACTTCTGCACACTGCACAATGCCACTCCTGGTGCAAGGGGCCCAGGGAGAAGCCAGGGGGTGTCTCAGGCAGTGGCAAGAGCGCTGGCTATCGAGCAGCTGCCTCGCAGCCAGGACAAAGCCAGATACATGGAGCGAGGCCACTGCCTGGTGGTGCACCTGGAAGCAGCCTCGTCTAGCTGCGCTCCCTGGGTGACCATTCTGACGGGAGCTGATGGGGGCAGACACCCACCAGGAGAGCTGCCCTCAGTTCATCACAGGAAAAAATGAAGGTTCTAATTCTTATATCCTATGGCAAAGTACACTTTCTTCTAATATTTACCTCAAGCAAATTTTTTTTTTTTTTTTGTGGA